GGATTATCTCATCACACCCTCACTCACTGAATCAAGAGGGTCCTGTACGGGAAGTGACAGGACACGGGGTTTGGAGGCATCTGCAGTGCCTCCTGGTCTGTCCTTTGGGCATGGGGGTGGGGCGGCCCATTTCTCTGCACCTGCTCCCATCCTCCCAGGGGCCTGGTTACCTGCTGAACTATCTGCCCTGTGCAGTGTCCCATGAAGTTCTGATGTGAGGGGAGCTGGGACCACCTCTGGACTGGGTGTTGCCCTCTGCTCTGGGCTTCTAGCTGGGAACCCCTACCCATGGGCCACACACAGCCTGCCCCTGCCCCCTCAGGCAGAGGGACCTGACACCAGGACCAAGGAGGGATCACAGAGCTGGGGGGACATCATTTGCATGACTGGCCCCTCCCTCTCTCAGAGTTTGAAGAAGGAGAGAGACCTAGAGATACTCTGCTCAGCTGTGGAGCCACGGAAGTCAGGACCCAGTGACCACCCCCACCATGGCCTGGTCCCCTCTCCTCCTTACCCTGCTGGCTCACTGCACAGGTGACTGGATGTGGGACAGGGGAAGGGGCCCTGGGAGGACACCTGGGCCTCATGTCCTCCTCTTGTGTCTGGGCCCCAGAACCAGCATCTCTGTCTCTCCCACATGCAGGGTCCTGGGCCTAGTCTGTGCCGATTCAGCCGTCCTCTGTGTCTGGATCCCCAGGCCAGAGGGTCACTATCTCCTGCACTGGAAGCAGCAGCAACATCGGGCGTGGTAATTATGTAAGCTGGTACCAACAGCTTCCAGGAAAGGCCCCCAAACTCCTGATCTATAATGTTAACAATCGAGCCTCAGGGGTCCCCAACCGCTTCTCTGGCTCCAAGTCTGGAAACTCGGCCTCACTGACCATCACTGGGCTCCAGGCTGAGGACCAGGCTGATTACTACTGTGAAGACTGGGAAAACAGCCTTAATGGTCACACAGTGCTCCAGGGCTAAGGGGAAGTGAGACAATAACCAGCTGTCCCCCGAGCCATGTGGCTCCCTGGGCAGAATCATCCTTCCCAAGCCAGCTGCTTCTGTAATTTGTGTGGCTGAAAACCTGGTCTGAGACTTACACCAGCAACTGAGACTAGAAAATGTGTCTGTCTGCAACTGAAAACCTGTCCCTTAACCTGTCCTTGGGGGCAACATTTTATCTGATTATCAGAAATTGAGTAGAACTTCCTGGATGCTGGGGGCAAGTGTCCTGGGGATAGAATCCCTGATGGGCCAGGGCATCCCCAGGGACACAGAGTCCAGCTACGTCTGAGTCAGGACACATCAGAGTGCCCTGTGTGTGTGTGGGACCAACAGCTCCCAGGATGGGGCACCAAACCGCTCATCTCTGATGCTAGTAGTGGACCCTCCCTCGGTTTCCTGGTGTTCAGGCTCTTTGGCCATCACTGGGCTGAGCTGAGAACAGGCTGCTCCCACCTTTCCTAGGAAAAGGCTCAGGCTCACCTGGCATCTGTGCTGCGGGAACTGAGAGCAAAGCCGCTTTCTCAACTGCGAGTGGGGAACATGGCACCACCTCCTGCTCAGGCTCTGGCTGGATCTTCTGCTGTTGCTGCTGCCCTGAGTACCGGGCACCTGGCGGCCCTGCTAGGAGTGGGGGCACCCCTCCTCCTCTTTCCCTCAAGTCCCTGGAGGAACACATTACTAGGACAAGGTCTCAAAGGGAACAGGAATTCCATCTCCCATTGCTGGGGACGCAGCGTCTCTTTCACGGAAGATCTGGGGCTGAGATGGGGGCTCCAGCTGAGGTCCTGGACATGAACTCAGACCCTTCAATCCTGATCTCCATCACTGGGGTCTCCTACCAATCTCCAGTGCTTTCCAGAGCTATGAATCCCTCTGATTAGACCTCAGTGTGAACACCTGTGTGTCTTGCTCACTGGGGAGATTTCTTTGGTCCCAGCTGCGCCAGCTCTGGAGTGTCTAAGGCTGCAGTGGACACTTGGGGCTTCTGGAGCATCTACGTCTCTATTCCCCACGAAGCAAAGATCCAAGCGTTGAATTTTCCTGTTTAATTTCTCTAACACTTGCAGAATGATGTTGACTAATAATGGATCTGAATGTCGCATCTTGTGCTCCTCGTGGGTGGCACTTGCACACATTATTGTCACCAGTCACCCATCAGAGACAGTTTGTGCTGTTACAATAATGTTTCACACGGCACTAAGTGTGTCCTTGATACATTAATGAGGTTGTCCCCAAACTGAAATAAAAAAGTGCTTTATGCCTGTTCATCTCCCCGGGAAGCTGTGGAGACAGCGCTGGTGCATTTCAGTTGCTGACACCGTCCCCCTGTGCAGAATCCACCTTTCTTGTGCCCCATCTCACTGCGCCTGGGCTGCACAACTTCCCTCCATGCCCGCACCCCGCCCCATCATGGGTTTCCTGCTGGACCAACAGGAAAGCATCACTTATCATCATCTCTAAATAGGCCTATCTAGTACCTCCTGCAGGGGTCGTAACAGCTTCACATAGCAGGTGGTTTCTTAAATACTAAAGATGAAGGAGCCGAGAGGATAGTTAAAGAAAACAATGTCTTTTATGATAGAATCAAAAAGAATAGAATAGATTGGCATAGGAGTATCCGAGCAGGAGAAAGGCTATAAACTCAAACCTACAAACATTGGTCATAAAAATGACAGGAAGTACCAGGAAATGAGAGCACAAGTGTGATCACAGGCTGGTTGACTTCATCTGGTGCAGGTGTTGGTCACCCCGACCCAGATGGCCTGCACGTCCAGCTCAATCTGATCACGGGCTCCCACCTCCCAGCTTCATCCCCAAATGTCCACAGCTCCCCTCCCTCTGGTTCTTTGGTTGGGAAGATGTTGGATAAACATGTGTTCTTTGGGCTTAGATTTCAGATCCCCAACCCCCATGAATGTCTGGGCTCTACATCTAGAACAGAGCCCAGTGCTGTTGCAAGCACAGGTCAGAGGGTGTCAGCACAGGGACGCGGACAGAACCCAAATGGAGAAGAGGGTTCCACGTACAGGGGCGCCCTCTTCATACCCCCCCTCACTGAGTAAGATTACAGACTGAAAAGATACTAAATATATCAGAGAGTCCAACGCATTGCCCAGCTAACATTCCAGAAACACTAGGCCCCGGAGAAGTGAGCGGAGCAGACTCAGTTTCACTGACAGTTTCTACTCCATGGCAAAGACAGGGACAAAGAGTCTGTGCAGGGTGGCTGCGAGGACCCGCCAGGGCAGTCTAAAGCAACCAGCACCACAAGTGTGAGAACCACATAGAATTAGGGTGAGGCTTTGCCACTTTATACTCTCAGAACCTGACACTTTTACATATGTGAAGATGAAGGCAGACTGGTGATGACCCCAGATACCAGCAGGAAGGGACCTCCCCTGAAATATCTGACAGCAATCACGGGCAACACGCTGTGTATTGAAGTGTCTGCAGTTCATCGGTGACCTGAAAACAACTCCTCACCACAAATACCATGCAGGACAAGCCGCATCCTCGTGTCCTGAGCAGTGATGGGAGATGATCCCGGTGCCCCAGTCAGGACCCCTGACAGGATGGCCGGGCACAGTAGGAGCTGGGGGCTGGGGTGTCTGAGCCCAGCAGGGGTGCTGGAGGATGATTCGTGGGCACTGGGTTCTGGGCCAGAACAACTGGCAGATACTCCAGTGGTCTTGCTAACCCCTCAGACAGTGTCCTCACTGAGGGTGACCTTCCACACCCGGGCTCCTGAGGCACGTGTGCTCCCAGCTCTGACCACACACTTGCCTCAGGGAGTCATTGCTCAGGTCATGTCCAGGCAGGATAGACAGTCTCACGCCAGGAACAAGTCTGCAAATAAAAAATCAACAGCGATGTTGCTCCCGGGAAATGGTAAAGGGAAAGCTGGGGAGGCAACGTTCGGAATTGTAACAATTAGACTTAGCAAGATGAGCTATGGGACGACCCTGTCAGGGTCCTGATCTCTGTCCCACTCCCTCACTCACTGGACCGGACTTTCCTTTAGGGCCGAAGAGGAAGATGGGAAGGGGGTGCCTCTGCCCTGCTCTTTTCTTATGCTCTGTGCATGGGGTGCTCAGTCACCCCACTTTCTACCCCTTGTAACCCCCACTTTTCCTACACGGTGTGAGTCAGACTGTGTTGACTCAGCCGACCACAGTATCTGGGTCTTGGTTAACTATATATCTAATATATAAAATTTTATATAATTCGTAAAAATATTTAGTAAATTAAATGAATATATTTAATAAAATAGTATGTTAAATATCTACATAAAATTACATGCATTGATTATATGTACAATATTTTAAAATTATTACATTTACTAAAATATACTGTATATCAAATATATACATTTAATGTAACACTGTATTTTATGTAAGCATATATGATATTATGTATTATAGTTTATATTGTTAAGTAAAATATGTATTATATAATATACAGATAAAGATATATTTTCTATCATCTTATAGGTTACATATTACACATTCTATATTTCATGGTAAGAATTACACTTCCTGTTTATATTAATAACTGCTTGTCATGGGGGCTCCCATTCTTTCTGCGACCTTCTCTCCCTGATTGCAGGGTCCTGGGTCAACTGCACTACACCTGCCACCAGGTCCCGAGTCTGCATCTCTCTTTGTGTGTGTGTGTGGTGGGGGCTTCTGTGTGTGCATCTGAGAAATGAGTGAGCAGACATTTCTCTAGCACTAAATCCAAGTTGGAAGGCATCAGAATAGCACCCCACCAAACACAAAGAGCTCTTAGAAAGACTTAAAGTAGAAGGCACAGAGTCCAATCTAATTTACTTGTTATAGAAAACACAGAAAAATCTGCCCAACAGGAGCTACATCAAATTTCAAAATTTTGGCTCAAGATTATTTTTGCAAAGAGACAGATAAGTTCCTCAAATTCCGAGTAGGATCTAGCTGATATCAAGAAAGATTCATTGGAACCCTAGAGATGATTTGGTCTGAGGCCAGGGTCTCTGGGGAGTCCCTGAGAAGGGGAGAACATGCACTGTGGATGGAGAGCAGATGTGAAGAGGTTAACCACAGGTCAGATGCCACTTTGAGGAAGAGAGACGCAGAGTTTTCAGCGCTGATCCCTGACCCACTGCAGGAGAAGAAGATGCCGTCACTGGACACCACGCCGGGGAGCTCACTAGTGCTCTAGGTGGCGGGGGCAGTGGCATCAGGCTGGTCTTTCACATCCAAGGAGCCCAGCCTAGAGAAAGCTCTTGCCCGTCCGGCAGCATCACCCAGAGCCACCAGGGGGCACTGTTCTCTGCTCCTCCCTCACTGTGCTGGGTTCCTGGCCACGGGGTGCTCTGCCATATGCAATCTGCAAACCCTCATGTCAACGCTGGCTCCTCATTGCAACCCAGACCTTCCTCCAAGGAAAGCATTGAGTTCCACTCCGGTGCCTTGAGGATACTCCAGACAATTTAGAAAGTTGGCTCAGGGCTCCCTCCAGAAGTCAGGGATCCCTGCTGAAAACTGTAGTGAATTTCAGTTTTGTTTTATTAGAAAGTGCAAGCTGTCATAATTTCATGCTGACTTTGTCACCTTTTCACCTGAAACCTGCAGTTAAACTGAAGAGACTCCATATACTAGATAATTCTTCAAAAAAATGGAGATCGTCAGCTGGCACTGCAGCTCTACGTGTCTGTTCTCCAGCCCTGGTCCCCCAACTCCTGCTCCTGGGAACAGGTCGGGAACTGAGTCAGGAGAGACCCCTTTCCCCTCTCACCACAGACACGGTCTCCGTGACTTCCCAGTGGACTCGCTGCTGGAGGAGGAGGGACAGATCATCTCCTCCGCAGAGACAAGCAGGGATTTCACAGAGGAAGGGAGACCTGTTCCAAGATGGGAGTAGCTGTGAGGGGGAATATACTTCTAGGCCCAGGAGGAGAGGACCCCTTCATCTCCTCCTTCAGCCCTCATGCTCTGCAGGGAAGAGATTTAGGACTGAGGTCACAGGGGCAGGGGAGTACATTTGGTGACAGGAGGCACTCCCACCACTCAGTACCTCATCACCAAGCCTTATGTGTCAGGGTGACGTCCCCACATCTGCTCTCTCCAGTCCTCCCTCAGGGGACATGAGGTGACACTGGGCAGGGAGAGGGAGGAAGCTGATTTGCATAAAGCCCCTTCTCCTCCCAGTGGGTCCAGGAGGCAAGGAAAGGCCCGAGGACCCCACAGTACAGCCCAGGAGGCTGAGGAGCCGTGTCCTGGGAGCAACCCCACCATGGCCTGGACGGTGCTTCTGCTCGGGCTCCTCACTCACAGCTCAGGTCAGGGGCCGGGACGCTGTGTCCTCGGGGGACGTCTACAAGCAGATGTCAGGGTGACCCTGGTCTCCATAACCACCCCTGTCTCTCTCCTCTCGCTTTTAAGGGTGGATTCTCAGACTGTGGTGACCCAGGAGCCATCCCTGTCAGTGTCTCCAGGAGAGATGGTCACACTAACCTGTGGCCCCAGCTCTGGGTCTGTCACTACCAGTAACTACCCCAGCTGGTACCAGCAGACACCAGGCCAGGCTCCCCAAGTCTTATCTATAGCAGAAGCAGCCACTATTCTCAGGTCCCCAGTAGCTTGTCTGGATCCATCTCTGGGATCAAAGCCACCCTCACCACCACTGAGGCCTTGCCCAAGGACAAGGCCGACTATTACTGTGCTCTGTACCCTGGTAGTTACAGTACAACTGTAATTTAACCTCACACAAGGTGCTATGAATGCTTCCCCCTGAGCTCAGCAGGCTCAGGCCTAGGGACAGGAGAGTAAGAGAGAGGGTGAAATGTCAGCCCCACAGGGGGAGGGGGCGCCTTGGACCCATCTCATGCCCAAGGATTCCAGGCTGCATGCCTCCTCCAGCCTCCCCCAGTGTGTGTCCATTGCTCCTAGGGTTTCCCCTTTCCCACAATATGGTGGTGACGTGGTCTCAGCTCCAAATTCTACCCTCAATTGTGTGACTCAGGAATCAAGCTCCATCAAGACGACCTTTCCTGTTGACCTTGCTGATCTCAGGCTGGACAATTAAACTCCCTGCACTGTGCCCTCAGCAAGGCTCCCAGCATCTCTCGGCAGTGACCTGGACTTCCATTCCCCCGGATAGAAGCGGGCTAGGCCTTGTCATCCCTGGGGAGGGTCTGGGGGGTCCAGGATGGGGAGCCTCCATCCCATTAAAGCAATCAGCCTGAGCCAGGCGAGCCGTCGGTGTGGTCAGCTGTCCAGTTCTCCACCCAGGATTCTGGCAGCCCAGGAGGAGCTGGGCTTCCTCCCCATTCCTCAGTGAGAGACAGAATGAGGAAGACAAGGCAGTCTAGTCAGCACTCCCGTCCCCATGGTGAGAGATTGTCGGGCCAGTGAGGACTGAGCCCTAACCCTTCCTGGATAACAGGACTGAACCCGGGGTGGGGCAGGGATGGACACTGCAGTGCCCCTACTTCTTTGGTGTCCCTGAGACTACAGAGACCAGAGGGCCAGGTATCCACCCATGGCAGCAAAGGAGAACCTCTTAGCCCGGCTTCCCCGTCTGGGGTCAGCAGGCCTAGCAGGGGCCTTGTCCACATGCCCCCTGGATGCGAAGGAGCTGGTGACCATAGCTGCCCCAGGGTCCCCAGGAGAGAGTCAGCAGCACAGAGCAGTGGGGTCAG